ATCCCATTACTGGTCATCTATCCAGAAGGAAAAAAACCTTTTATTATAAAGACATTTGTACTAGGATGTTTATCGCAGCCCAATTTACAGTCGCTAAAATGTGGAAACAGCCTAAATGTCCTTCAATGTAGAAATGGATTGGTAAGCTGTGGCATATGTATACCATGGAATATTATTCAGCCATTAAAAAAAATGGAGATTTTGCAGCATTTGTACTATGGAGGTGAAACACATTATTCTTAGTGAAGCATCATAGGAATGGAGCAGTATGAATCCTATGTATTCAATTTTGATATGAGGACAATTACTGACAATTAATCACAAGGTGGGGCATGGGGGAAGCGGAGACCAGACAGAGAAGGAGGGAGGAGGGGAGGGAAAGGAAAAGAAGGAAAAAAAAGAAAAGAAAATACTGACTAATTCTCACATAAATTGGATTTAATTTTGACCAAAGTACATTACTTAAACATTCATTTTTAATTCAACTTGTTAATATGTTGTTTAGGATATTGCATCCTCATTTACAAGTGAAATACATTTGTAATTTCCCCTTTATAATAATATATTTTCTCCAATTTTAATAGCAGGTGTATCCAGATTAAATAGAATGATTTTGAAGTATTTCTTCTTTTTCTATTGTCTATAAGATTTGGCATGACCCGTTTTTTTAAATTATCTTTTACTTTTATTTATAAATATTAGTTGTCTATTTTTTGAGACTTTGGGACAAAAAATTAGAAGAAGTCAACTGATGACTCCATATTGAACCTCAGAGTCAAAGCATTCTATAATAGACATACTCTTGTTTGACAATGTGAATGTTGCTTCTTTGCATTATTATTATTATTGATTAATATTTTGATGCAACAATCATTTGATTTCTTTTCTGAATGTATTTATCTTCATTTGTTCTTTATGAGGTTTTTGTTTCTAGTTCTTATCTCAAAAATTGTTATTGTTATTAAATTTTAAGCCTTTTTAATTTTGTGAAAGCAAAAAAAAAAAAAAAAAAAAGAAGGACCCTCAGTTTCTATAACTCACCACCCAGAATCTTATGAAAAAATCTTCCCCTGCTAACATAAAATTAAATAAAAGATAAAAACCAAAAGCCTGGAAACTGACAAAGGCTTACTGAGTGAGAGCTGCTGTTCTGCTGATGGAGCAAATCTTCCTTCTCTTTCTTTGTTACTTCAATAAACTTGCTTTTTAAAAAAAAAAAAAAAAAAACCCTCCATTACTATGTACCTGGTGCAAGTACCTGGTGCACTGAGGAGGGGCTCAATAAACATTTGTTGAGTGAATAAATTGAGTAATTACAATATGGTAAATGCTGAGGAAATTGTTACTTAATAAACGATGTTCTTGTTTTTATTATTTAATCTTGGCAACTCTACAAGCTGGTTGTGACTGTCATAACCCCTTTTTTAGGTAATAAAACTCAGGCTCAGGGACTTTATGTCCAAAGTTTAAAGTAATGCTGTCAGTAAATTTTAGAGCAAGATCCAAACCCAGGCTGTCTGAGTTCAGAGCCTGAACTCTTAGCCCATTGGATGTACATTAACCATAAAGCCCACATCAGAGCATGAAATACATGTTCTCTGAATTTCAGAAGATGCTCATAGCCAGGCTTGGGCCTTTGGACTCTTTCCTGTACATAACAGGAGACCCTCAGAATATCTTGATATAAGCAGATGTTACTTATGAGATAATTTTGGCAGGGGGTAGGACCAGGATGAAGCTAGTGAGGGACTCAACTCAGGTACAAAATTTAAGGGGAAGCCAAAAAAAATCTCAGTTTTCAAGATAAATCAGAATTACTAATTTTTCTTTTTGCCTCAGGCTCCAATATCACCAATCAAAGCATTGTTACTCATCTTGTCTTTATTTGAAATTTTTGATATTTTCTTCCTCACAGATTTTTTGCAGTACTGAAAACAAATTCCATTAAAATGTTATTTTTCTTGAATACTGAGTTTTGGGGTGCCCCCTTAATTGTGCCCAAGGCAATATACCACATTTACCTGATTTAGTCTGCTCTTATCCCATGACTTGTTTATTTACATTTTTTCAAGGCAAATATTGTTTATTTACATTTGTTCAAGGCAGATATTGTTACACCTACTTCTCAGAGTTGTGGTAAGGGCCTGAAGAGATTCTGCAGGTGCAGCTTGGCTTTGTGAATGACAAACCCTATGACTCACACAGATATTCTCTGCTCTTGTGCAGCCAAGTCACCCCAGCAATACCCTTGATGCCCAGTTTGGCAGTGATGAGAGTCCTTTAGGATTTTCTCTCTAAATCTTAATTCTAGGGCATGCTATTCCCCCTCCTGTTACCTCCTTCACCACCTTCCATCCTCACTGCCTCCCCTATCCACTAAAGATAAGCATACAGAGTAACTTATTCCTAAATAAAAGTTCTTGAGCTAGAAAAATGCTCCAAGAATTCATTGCAAAACACAGTCTTATTCTTTGACAAAATCCATCCTGAGCTAGATGGCTGAAAACAAACATTGCTTCTTCCCCTGCTGTCAGAAAATTACCCATTACATTACAAGGCCTCCTGCAAAGGGTTGAAATATTTTTTTCCTCAGGGAAAATGAAACTCAGTCTCATATACTTCTGTTGGAACTCTTTCCAACCTCACTTTAAGGACATTTGCTATTCTGATTGTATAAGCCTAAGTCAGATACACACATGCTGGGATTTCTGAATATATTTATAAGAAAATCAGCATAATGCAAAGTTAATATTCAGAATGTGATTAATCCTAAAGCCCCATTCCATATTCCAATTACATCCACTGCTCCCCTCCATGGGCTGATTTTTGCTAACATGCATATGGAATCAATTGGAGCACCAGATATATGGAGGCTTCTGAAAGCATGGTGCTTCAACAGTAATAAGTTATATTCCTATTATGTGGTAGGCAATAAAAAATCTGATATTTATTTCTGCTGGATTTTGAGGAACTCTTTTGGAAAGAATCTAGGCTGCTGGAACACTGTGACAAACAAGTGTTTGTCAAAACATATTTCACAAACAAATGTTCCCTCTACAGTTTGACTATTTAGAGGTACTGGGGCCATCTTAGAAACCCAGCTCCAGTGTACTTGAAGGAATCAACCAGTGTCCCCACCTTTACTTTAGTTTCTAACAAGACAGGTACCTGATTCTCTCCTTCTGGAAAAAGCATAGGTTGTATGACCTTAGACAAGACCTTCAGATATATCTCAGCTTCCATTTATCCATTTGTAAAATGGGAATAGTGTTGTACCCCTGCAACCTGAAAGTATAGACTTGGACCCCCCCCCCTTATGTGCAATTTAATTGGAGACTTATTAAAGCTGTGCAGGGGACTGTTGCTCTGAGACAGACATCCCATTCCAGTAGAGGGCAGGTTGCCTTATATAATTTTTGTGCAAGCATACTACAGAAGTGAGACATGGTTGGTTGGGAGGGTTACAGCTTGGGTAGTCACAGATACAGCAATGATTACAGTTATGTAACAATGATTAATACAGCCTTGGTTGACAATGGACATATCTTAAATCACAATGGTTATAGTTATGTAACCATGATTAATATAGCCTTGGTGGATTTCCACCATTGTTCATCCACTGAGAACTTGGGGGTTTTTTTGGAAAACTTGGGACTTCCCCTGTTTTAACTTAGGAGGGTATGGGAATGGACTGGGAAAGCCTGTAGGGTGGGGGAATGGGCTGGAAGAGAGGGCAGAGGGCGGGGGAACTGGAGAGGATGGAGGAACAGTCTGGGAGTGCTTGCAGCATTCCCCACTGGTCTTCTTGGGGAATTAAACCCTTAATTCATCTGAATTGAAGATGATGGAGTTAATTCTGAGGGGCTTCGTGGTTAGAGCTGTGGTGTTTATGACTGTGGAATAAGGAGTTAAACTAGTGGAGTATGTGAACTAAGTTTCTTGGAGTTATTAAGTAGGAGACACCGCCAGAGGGTGGGAGAAGCTTGTAAGCTGGGTAACCTATTTTACAGCTACAGTTTTTACAGTAATAATTTCCTGCTCTTCTATAGGACTGTTTGTCTGAAGAAAAGTTTTTATGGCTTTTTTCTTCTGATCTTGTTGATTGTGGGGGTAGTGAATTTATGACTTCTTCTTTCTGACTTCAATGGCCAAGCTCAGTCTTGGGTTGGAGATTGTGTAGCTGCTGCTATAGTAGAACATGGTTAATTACTCACGTGGCTATTTAATTCAGTCTCTTTCAGTTCTTTTAGGACCTCCTGTTAAATTACAGAGGATTGACGGAGGTTTTCGAATAACACTTTTGGCAAGGCTTATATTTAATTAT